AATAAAATGTCACATTAGTTGCATTTATGTCTTTTTACCTAACAATATACAATATAGACAACAGTTATTTAGATGAACAGATAGAAATATACAACTATTACCAATATGTCAATAATTTTAACAATCCATAAGAAACATTATGAAGAACTACTGTATAAACCTCGTGAAAATAAAAATTCTTCTTTGCTAGAAAGATAATTACAGCCTCTCCACACTTAACGACGGAGTTCTGTTCCTAAGACCAAGTCGGTAAATGAATTCGTTGCTAAGCAAGGAGTGTACTATAATGGCAGTGGATTTGTGTCTATCATCTCTGATATTGTTTTCATGTCACCTTTACACCATTTATAGTATATTTTTAAATGTTTATGTTTGTACTTAGATATAAATACTGGTCAGAGAGCCCGTCGTAAGTCTGAGTCATCAGTAAACGAGTATGTCACTAAGTGAGGAGAGGTTGTACTTGTTATATCATGCAATTTTGTTTACAAGTAAGCTGAGAGCTGCACTACATCAGCTGCAGTATACACAGTACAGGAATTTAAGTGAAAATCATGAAATACATTTTGAGTGTTTTCCCTTTATAACTGAGAGAATCATTACTACATTATTACAGGTGTTCCTTGACTTACGATGGGGTTACATTCTGATGAACTCATCACAAGTCAAAATATCATGTTGAATATGAATGTGATATGCTAAACAAATAAGTAAATAAGAACCACTGTCACTAAATAACAAATAATTATTGTAGCTAAATTCCAGTATTGAACTTTCTGCCTTCACACTGGGAATTATTAAGTTTCATCTTCAAAGTAATATCCTTTGCACCAGCACAAAGTTAAAATATCATAAGCGAGCCTTCATAAGTCGAGAAGCACCTGTACGTTACAGTGAAGAAATGTACTGTTTTAAGAAGAAATCTTTTGCCAAACGAAATGACACTTTATACAATAAGAGATACTATAAAGTATAGATCCATGCAGGAATGCACAACTTTTTAAACATCACTGAATGAATAATAAGATACATAGTCTGCAGTAAAGACAGTGAATAAATACAGTGGAGGGTATTCATTGTCACAGGTCAGTGGCAGTTCTATTTTTGAAACACGACATGGAAAGCTGCAAGTGTGTTGCAAGCAACTGAGCCTGCATCTATGAATACGAATGCTCCTCACTTTACGATGGTTTGACTTAAGATATTTTGACTTTACGATGGTGTGATAATGACATATCGTATGGTGTTTTTATCTGTGTTTAACCAAATTTTCCCAAGCCCATTATGTCTGCCTGTACAACATAGCATTACATATACTGTACCTGTATCATCCTTGGGTAATTTAGTCAGTGTAATGTAAAACTTTTTATTTTCATTGTACATTTATTGACAGGATAAACTTTTTTTTTTAACACATCAGCCATTTCCCATTGAGGCAGGGTGATCCAAAATGAAATAAAAAACTTTCATCATTGTTCAACACTTTCACCATCATTCGTACATAATCACTATCTTTGTAGAGGCGCTCAGATACGACAATTTAGATGTCACTCCAAACAGCCAATATCCCAAACCCCTCAGATGAGTGTGTATACATAAACATGTATATACTTAGGTAGTGTAACCTAAGTAAAAGTAGCAAGATATACCTGTTATCTTGTGTGTTTATGAGACAGAAAAAAGACACCAGGAATCTTACATTATGTAAAACAAATACAGTGGTACCTCGAGTTTCGAACAGCTCCCAACACGAATAATTATGTAAGTTTAATTTTTGTAAGTGCTTTTGTAAGTGTATTTTTGGGGGTCTGAAATGGACTAATCTAATTTACATTATTCCTTATGGAAACAAATTTGTTCGGTATTAGCACTCGAACAGCCTCCTGGAACGAATTAAGTTCGTAACTCGAAGTACCACTGTACAGGTTTGTTTCACACTCATTTGATAGGACAGTAGTACCTCCCTGAGTGGTTGCTGTCTATCAACCTACTACTACTGAATGGTTTTTGGGACTGGGAAAAACTTATATTCATTTGTTCACTTTTCAATACTGGTATTTAGTTACGGTAAATTATTTATTTATTCAGTTACAATAGTTATTTATTTTTTCAACATGATAGCCATCTCCCACCAAGGCAGGGTGACCCAAAAAAGAAACACTTTCACCATCATTCACACAATTTCACTGTCTTTGCAGAAGCACCAAGATATGAGAGTTTAGATGTCACTCCAAACAGCCATTTTCCCAAACCCCTCCTTTAACCCCTTCACTGTCCAAACGTAGATCTACGTTCTTACCGCTTGCGCTCCAAACATAGATCTACATTTTATTTTTCCTGCCTCCAAATTTGGCATGATTGGCCTAAGATGCCTGGTCAGCAAAGACTGGGTCTTAACCCTCAGTGTGTGCTATATTAAAAAAATCTGGGACCATGTAGTACCTTGTGGGAGCACCAGTTCAACTGAGCACCAGCTAGAGCAAACAGCGCGGCAAACACCAAGGATTCACTGGTGTCATGTCGTATTAACACCTTGCCAGAATGTCCTATAACCTATGCCCTAAGTAAAAAGAAACAAGTCTGGAACTGTAATTTCGGCAGGCTGGCTGGCTGATTGACTGTCTCTATCTCTGTCTGTCTGTCTGTACCTATCTCTGTCTCTATCTCACAGGAACACATTCGTAAATACAATTATACAGTGTAAATTACCTAGGATAACCCCAAAAAATCCAGACAAAGTACTATTCTGGAACTGTAATCTTCGAAGCCTGGCCTGCGGCTGATTGGCTGTCTCTATCTCCGTCTGTCTGTCTGTATCTATCTCTGTCTCTATATCTGTCTATTTCACAGGAACACATACATAAATACAATTCTGTATAGTGTAAATTACCTAGGATAACCCAAAAAATCCTGACACAGTGCTATACTGTGCTTGTAGATAGTGATCGTGAGTAATACCAGATGTAAAAAAACAAAATTTTAGAGTCAGTACTTACAGAGACATAAGGCTGCAAAGTCGGCACTTGTCACTTATCTGACAGCAACTTGATGACCTCCACTTGAAGATGCATTGCCGTTATACCTTTTTTTCTCATTTTTTTTTTAAATTGTATAATTTTTATGTTCTGATAATGACAATTTATAGTAGTTCTTGTGATTTCATAGTTAATCTTTGTTTTGACACTAATATTAGGTACTGAAACAGTACTCAAATAGTCATAAACACAGTGATAGGTGAACATTTTCACCTATATATACATAGTATTTATAGGTCCCAGCAATGTTTTGGATACATGGGAGTATATAATAATAATAATGATAATAATAATAATAATAATAATAATAATAGTAATAATAATAATAATAATATGTAATAATAATTATAATAATAGAAATAAGTTCCCTTGAAGCTTGATGTAAGAGTGTGACACTTGTCTTATCTTTTCACTCCACTGCTGACAATGGTGACATTTGATGAGCTGTCTTATCTTATCACCCCACTAATGACTGGTGATGTTTGATGAGCTCATCTTATCTCATCTCTCCGCTCATGATGGTGCTGACATCTGATGAGCCTTGCTTTATTTGTTTTCACTGTTACACATAAACATGTCTATTTGTCTATATGTCTGTCTGTCTGTGTGTTTGTCTTTCTGTCTGCCTATGTGTTTCTTTCTCTCTGCTTGTCTCTCTTGTCTCAGAGAGTTGCTCATGAACCAGCTAGTATTACACACAATCACTATCTACAACCACAGTATAGCACTTTGTCTGGATTTTTTGGGTTATCCTAGGCAATTTATACTATGTATAACTGTTTTTATGTATGTGTTCCTGTGATAGAGACAGAGATAGATACAGACAGACAGACGGAGATAGAGACAGCCAATCAACCAGCCAGCTGGCCAGCCAGCCTGTCGAAATTGCAGTTCAAGAATTGTTTCTTTTTACTTAGGGCATAAGTTATAGGACATTCTGGTAGGATGACACTTTTGTCTTAAAAGGGAAGTGTTAATAAGACATGACATCAGTGAATCCTTGGTGTTTGCTGCACTGTTTGCTCTAGTTGGTGCTCAATGGAACTGGTGCTCCCACAAGGTACTAAAATGTCCCCGATTTTTTAATACAGCGCACACTCAGGGTTAAGACCCATTCTATGCTGACCAGGCATCTTAGGCCAATCTTGCCAAATTTAGAGGCAGGAAAAATAAAAACGTAGATCTACATTTGGAGCGCTAACGGTAAGAACGTAGATCTACGTTTGGACAGTTAAGGGGTTAAAAGAAGTGCAGGCATTGTACTTCCCACCTCCAAGACTCACGTCCAGCTACCCAGTTTCCCTTAATCCCTTCAAAAAATATTACCCTGCTCACACTCCAACAGCCTGTCAGGTTCCAAAAACCATTCGTCTCCATTCACTACTATCTAACATGCTCACATATGCCTGCTCCATGTCCAGGCCCCTTACACACAAAACCTCTTTTACCCCCTCCCTCCATCTTTTCTTAGGATGACCCCTACTCCTCCTCCCCTCCATTACATACTTATACACCCTCCAAGTCAACCTATTTTGCTCTATCCTCTCTAAATGGCCAAATCACCTCAATAACTCTTCTTCAGCCCTCTGAATAATATTTGTTCCCTAGGCTTTTTTTAACCTATTTATCTCACTCCAAATTTTTTTTCTTATTCTCAGCAAAATTTGTTGACAGCACCTCACCCACTCTAACAATTGCTCACCTTCTGCACTCTATCACCGCTCTCTTCACCTCTCTTTTACTCTCCACATAATCCACCCTCCTTATATCATATTCATATTTGACATGATATTTTCAACTTACAATGGGTTCATCGTAACGTAAGTCCAGGAGCACCTACCAACAAACAATAACAGGTAGCAAGAATTTAAAGATACAAAAGCATATTGCAGTAAAACCCAAAGGAGCCAATACTGTATATTGAGAATGGTTAAAGAAATACAAAAAGCAATAAACTACACTTACCTTCATCGCTGACAGAATCTAAGCTGGAGCTCCCTGCAGTTTTGAAGTCAATGTCAAAACATGAAAATGGATCCAAGATTTTGTTAGTTGCTAACACACAACAATGATACATTATAATGGCAATAATGACATATACAGAAAAAAAAAACACATTTAAAACTCAAACTCCACTGAGTTTGAGTTTGTTAACTGAGTGGCTACTGTAGGACTATACTATTTGCTACTCTCAAATAGTGCTGTATGATCCTAAGTTTTGTGTGCTATTTAATACTATAAAAACAATAATATCTACTGTCAAAATATTATGATGCTACTTAATTTGAAATATGCTGCATGTAGCTAGACTCAGGTGACTTTTCATCATTGCTGTCATGTTTAACAATGAAAAATCTTTATACAATAGTGGAATATTTTCTTAACTGTAACCACTTTGGAAAAAACAAACCAAATTAAATACAGTGGACCCCCGCTTAACGATCACCTCCCAATGCGACCAATTATGTAAGTGTATTTATGTAAGTGCATTTGTATGTGTATGTTTGGGGGTCTGAAATGGACTAATCTACTTCACAATATTCCTTATGGGAACAAATTCGGTCAGTAATGGCACCTGAATATACTTCTGGAATGAAAAAATATCATTAACCGGGGGTCCACTGTACAATGTGTCTTAAATATTTGAAAGGTTGTGATGAAAATTTCTCCTAAAATTATAAATACTAATTCTATAGTAACCTCTTATAAAGCTATTATATACAGTGTGATATTTTACAAATGCAACTGAAAAAGTCCATCCCAAATTGAGGATTCTTTTCACATACTATTTAAAGTCAGAGTAATTTTTTTTAATGTTGGAGGTACTTTTTTTTAATGTTGGAGTCACTTTTATTTAATGTTAGAGGCACCTTTTAAAAGTTAAATACACTTTTTAAATTTTGGATGCACTTTTTTAATTTTGGAGGCACTTTTTAAAGTTGGAGGCACCTTTTTTTCATGTTGGAGGCACTTTTTTTTTTACTGTTGGAGGAACTTTTTAGAAGTTAGAGGCACCTTTCCTTTTATATTAGAGGCACCTTTTATTTTAAATTAGAGGCACCTTTTACTTTAAATTAGGGGCACCTTTTATTTTAAGTTAGAGGTACCTTTTCTTTTAAGTTTGAGACAACTTCTCTTTAAAGTTTGAGGCACCTTTTACTGTTGGAGACATTTTTTAAAGTCAGAGGCACTTTTTAGATGTAGGAGGCACTTTTTTAATCACATTTACAAAAAATTACTTTACTGAATATAAAGGAACTTTAAAAAGAGATAAATGCTTTTCAACTTATAGTGTGGTGCATAAGTAGCTTTAATGAGAATAATTATTTTTGCATATGGCTGCATTGCTCTGGCAACAATTATTATGAATGCGGTCGTGAGCTGATTAATTTGTGTATTAATATAGCCTCCATTTTGTGTGGCACTAACACTTTTTGCTGTTTTAAATTTTTATTATATTCAAGGGTGGAGTGATAAACCCATAAGGGGGTCACATAGTGTCCAGGGGAATGTGAGGCAATCAGGTTTGATGCAAGGGGAGTTTAGTTTCAATTCCTTGGATCAAGAACCCCTCATCATACATCTCTTGAGAGGTTCTGAGGTGGAACAACATCTAGTTTGATTGTTTACAAATGCTTGTTAGGCAGTGTTACCCCATGATACACTACCTCTGATATACCTCTGAAAAGTTGCAAGAGTTAATCTACTTTCTGAGCCCAGCCATGGGCCAGGCTCGTCTGGTGCTTGCCTAGTCAACCAGGCTCTTGCTGCTGGAGGCCTGCTGCTCCACATATCCATCACAGCCTGGTTGATCTGGCACCTGGTGAAGATACTTGTCCAGTTTCCTCTTGAAGGCTTCTACACTTGTTCCAGCCGTGTTTATGATATCTTCTGGTAATATGTTGAATAGTCTGGGACCCCGGATGTTGATACTATGTTCCCTTATTGTCTCCACTGCACCCCCACATAGACCCATCTGGCCTTTATTTTTTTCTAAAGGTATGACCAGGTTGTGGGAGATCCAAACAACTGTGCTGAGGTCAAAGATATTGGCAGGTGCCATATTTAAGGCCACAAAAAGTTGTGTACTAGTATGCTGAACACAGTTAAGGTATTAAGACTGGTAATAAAAATAATTATCTTCATAAACTGTGTGTCAGAAGAGGTGGCTAAAATACCGAGAATAAGGCGTTAGTAACTCCTCCTATTGTATAAATTACTAAATGTAAAAAGGAAAACTTTCATTTCTCTTTTTAGGTCACCATGCCTTAGTGGGAGATGAGTGGTATGATAAACAAAAAAGTTGTACATGAGGGAGGTGAAGGTGTTGGGTGGCTGCCTAGTGACCCATCAAGATGACTCCTAAACTCACTCTCGTTTCCCACTGGGGCATAAAGATAATGTGACTTCTCTCATGTGAGCATATTTTATCTTAGATAGGGAGTGCTTTCATCTAGTCAGGTATTATTAACCCTTTGACTGCCGCAGGCCCCTTTCTGAAACTGTCATTCTATGTCGCAAAATATTCGAAAAAAAAAAAAAAAATTCTTATGAAAATGTTAAGATTATTTTTCTGAGTGTTTTAGTCCAAAAAAAAAAAAAATTTTTTTGCCATCAGTGCTTACCGAGATATAGAGGCATGAAGTTTGCAGAAAATGAGCCGTGTATGGCAACAGCGGTGACTGCCGCTCACCTGGTAAACTTTGGTTTACTTGTATTTGAAGGTTTGTTGTTTTTTTCACTATTTTATTTTTTCACATAACTTATGTGGCCTGTGAGACCAAAGTAAGGTGCAATGTACATATATATACTCGTTGTATACAACACAATAAGCACACAAACATAATTATCAATACAGTGGACCCCCGCATAACGATTACCTCCCAATGCGACCAATTATGTAAGTGTATTTATGTAAGTGCATTTGTACGTGTATGTTTGGGGGTCTGAAATGGACTAATCTACTTCACAATATTCCTTATGGGAACAAATTCGGTCAGTACTGGCACCTGAACATACTTCTGGAGTGAAAAAATATCGTTAACCGGGGGTCCACTGTATATTGTTTACAAAACTTGTTTACAAAAACAAACAATACAAAAAATTTTTTATTACTATTGTTCTATAATATATATACCAATGTACAGTCACCGAACATATTCCTAGAAGTTTCGCAGCTTGTGGAACTCTTTGAAACATGTTTTCATACACAATGGTGTTTTACACTCCTCACACATAAAACCAGTGTGTGTGCATTTTTGTGGACTTTTTTTTTTTATGTGCAAAGACAAAACACCTCGTCTGAACAGTTTTCTTCAAAGTATTAGCAGGCAGTTGTGTTATGTAGTTATCCTAGGTAAATGGTCGTGTGTCATCATTCCTTCCTTCCTGCATTCATTTCCTACCTTCCTGCATTCCTTTCCTACCTTCTTTCCTACCTTACTTTCCTACCTTCCTGCATTCCTTTCCTACCTTCCTGCAATCCTTTCCTACCTACCTTTCTACCTTCCTGCATTCCTTTCCTACCTACCTTCCTACCTTCCTGCATTCCTTTCCTACCTTCCTTCCTACATTCTTTCGTCTTTCCTCACTTTTTTCCTTCCTTTCATCTCGTCCTTCCTTCATTCCTGCCTTCCATTCTTCCTTCCTTCTGGTTTCTATAATATATATACACATATATAGTTGCTTCATTCAGCAAGCTTTTCTTGTGTGCGTGTGTGTGGCTTATAACTGTTTTGAGTCAGGAGTCAGCAGCTGTCAAAATGACATATTGTCTCATTACTCACTCCCCCTACTGCCTGTCAAAACAATGGGGTCGGATTCTGCTTCCCCTCCATTCTATCTAATTATCTTTCTCCCTCATTCTATCTCTTTCAATCTGTCTCTCTCTTTCTATCTGTCTGTCCCAAACTCCTCGAAATCATGAAATTGATCATCACTGGTACTTCCATCTGTGTTAGAGCATCACTTGGGAAGAGAAGAGTCCAAGATTTGCTGGGGAGTCACATATTTCTTACTGCTAAGCATGCTGAAAAAGGACGACTAAAATGGCATTCCCACAATGCATCACTGGCTCCCCGATTTTTTTTATATGGTGCACACTGACCATGGAGACCCATTCTCTCACATGTGGGCCTACCAGCTTTCTCCTGCTTGATTTGAAGCCGCTAGAATTTATGCGTATAAATACGTCAGAAACAGTGGCGCGTAAGACGTATATATACGCCGTAAACAGTCAAAGGGTTAATCCTGCTAGTGGAGTTTGTAATTAGTATTTTCTAATATGTAAACCACACATTATAAGATTTGCAAGGAAATAAACATTTTCATTAATAAGTAAGTACAGTGGAACCTTGGCTTTCATCATTAATTCATTCCAGAAAGTCTGACGAAAACTGAATTCGACGAAAACGGAAGCAATATTTCCCATAAGAAATAATGTAAATCCAATTAATGCATTCCATACACCCAAAAGTACAGTAGGGCCCCACTTATACGGCGGGTTAGGTTCCAGGCTGTCACTGGAAAGCAGACATCGCCGGAAGGCAGAACGCCATTTTTTTCCATTTATAAATGCATATAAATGCCAGACAACAAGTTTACACTAAATTATATTAAGTTAGTAATAGAACCAGGCATTAAAAACACACAAAGTAAAATACGTTCACAGTAAATTCATTACTTATCTTAAAGTATTTGTAATCTTAATGTAGGGAGAGAGGTGAGTAGTACATATTTGTAGGAAGTCAGGTGCAGGTAGCCCTGGTGTAGGTAGCCCTGGCTCCCCATCTCATACTTAATATACGATATTTAAAACATCCCAGAGAGGTAAAATACACATACAGTACACTCATTATTTACCTTAAAATATATGTAGTCTTAATATAGAAAGAGAGGTGAGTAGTATTTATTTGTAGGAAGTCAGTGTAGGTAGCCGGTAGGTGTAGCCCGCCTGGGCTACACCTACCGGCTACCTACACTGTGGCCCAGAGCCATAT